TCCCGCTTTGGGCCCCAAAGTGCTGGAGACAGGCATGAGCTGCTGTGCCTGCCTGGCCTGACTGTCTCTCTTGTCTTGTCTTGTCTTCTCTTCTCTTCTTTTCTTCTCTTCTTCTCTTCTTCTCTCTCTCTTTCTTTAAGAATTATAGGAAGTGAGGGATACATTAGGAGATATACCTAATGTAAATGACGGCGGGCACACGATGACACATGGTAAAAAAAAATACATAATAGACAACATGCACATATGATAAGACAACAAATAGATAACATAGAAACTTAAAAGATAAAAAAAAAAAAAAAAAGAATTATAGATATGTAGTAAGCCACCTTATGGAAATTGTAATATGATGGAAAATAGAGAACAAATTGGCCAAGCTTTTCACTGACTTGCAAGAAAATTGGAGAACAACTTTCACCGTTTTATTGCTTGTCTTTGCATTATCTTTTCAAGCTCCAATGTATGTATATGTGTGTATAATATGTGTGTGTGTGTATATATATATATATATTTTTTTTTTTTTGACTTAGGATTTAGAAAAAGCAGCAGTCTTAGAAACCTTGTATGACCAGAGTGTGGGATAAGATTGAAGCAAGAAGTAATTAAATGTGCTTTAAATTATTTAAGGCAGAAAATAATGCAGTGGCCACTTCTGGATTCTGCTTTCTGAACTCAGTTAGTACCCCAGGATCACAGAGGAATGGCACTGTCTTGTACTTGTTCCCCTTATTAAGCTCAGCATGTGGTCCAATTAATGCAGTGATCCAGAAGGCAAGGGAGGTAGTGGTGGCTTTGTACTGTTGCCTTAAGGACAGGGGGCTGTGTTCCCTGCCTGGCTCCCTCCTGTCATAGGCCTGGCTCAGGAGTTGTCTCTGCATGAGGCTGTGCAAGTCTGTGCTGTGGCTGTTGCAGCTCCCCCCTGTGAAATACAATGTGTGAACTATTGATGCATCACGTAGAATGATTCCATCTTCTCTGTGGGTCAGAGGCAAGAGTGGAGCTATTGTTGATGAAATCAGAGATGTGAGAGGGGTCCATGTGGATTAGAAATGGTGAGATGACTTGCCTGCCCAGATGAGAAAGCTGCTTATTTCTGGGGCTCTATCTGAGGGAGGAGGTCCTGCATTGTGTCCCATCAGCCACAGGGCAGAGCCACCTGAGGTTTCCCAACAAAAAGCAGCATTGGCAAGGTAGCCATTTCAGTGCACCATGTATAAGAATGCCTCCTTGTGCCGGGCACGGTGGCTCATGCCTGTAAATCTAGCACTTTGGGAGGCCAAGGCGGGTGGATCACAAGGTCAGGAGTTCAAGACCAGCCTGGCCAATATGGTGAAACCTTGTCTCTACTAAAAAATACAAAAATTAGCCGGGCATGGTTGCAGGCGCCTACAGTCCCAGCTACTCGAGAGGCTGAGGCAGGAGAATTGATTGAACCTGGGAGGCAGAGGTTGCAGTGAGCCGAGGTCATGCCACTGCACTCCAACCTGGGCGACAGAGGAAGACTCTGTCTCAAAAAAAAAAAAAAAAAAAAAGAATGCCTCTTTCTATCCAGGTCGAGACTCGGTTTGGTTTTTTGTTGGTTGTTTGTTTGTTCATTCACTACTAGAATTTTTTTCAAGTGGCTCAGCTTTCAACTCTGCAACTGGTTTAGAAGAATGGGGTGGGGAGCAATAAGAATGACCCTGGTTACCTAAAGGAAAGGGAAGGAAAAGGTCCCAAAAGGGGAGACTCTGGAGATGGGGCATCTTTGGGCACCCTAGGTCTTGAGCCCTGTGATTCAGTGACTTTTTCTTCACCCCCCGCAGATGGAGCGGCAGCGCCTCGCTCGAGAGAAGCAGATGAGGGAGGAGGCTGAACGCACGAGGGATGAGTTGGAGAGGAGGCTGCTGCAGATGAAAGAAGAAGCAACAATGGCCAACGAAGCACTGGTGATTTCTGAGGGGCCGGGGTTCCAGGAGGCTACCTGGGGGCTTCCTTGGCTTTTCTGGAGCTCGGCCTCCTGAAGACCATGAGTTAGCAGCGTTTGCTTTGAAAGACTTAATTTCAGCTTTAAAAAAAATCAGTGCCTTTTCTTTCCACCTGTGTTGGCAGAAGCAGATTTAGTTTGAGCTTATGTGCAGCCAAATTCCACTTTCACCACGAGGTTGCCTTTACAGCAGGGCTTCTCAGCCTGTGCACTACTGACATTTGGGGCTGACCATCCTTTGCTGTAGGCACTAGATCCCAGTAGCAGCACCTCACCCTCCATTTGTAACAATCCAAAACATCTTCAGACATTGCCGTATGTCTCTTTTTTTTTGAGAGACAGAGTCTTGCTCTGTTGCACAGGCTGGAGTGCACAGTGGCACGATCTTGGCTTACTGCAATCTTCGCCTCCCAGGTTCAAGCGATTCTCCTGCCTCAGTCTCCCGAGCAGCTGGGATTACAGTCACATGCCACCATGCCCAGCTAATTTTTGTATTTTTAGTAGAGACAAAGTTTCACCATGTTGGTCAGGCTGGTTTTGAATTCCTGACCTCGTGATCTGCCTGCCTCAACCTCCCAAAGTGCTATGATTATAGGTGTGAGCCACCGCGCCCAGCCATACTTTTTTTTTCTTCTGAGATGGAGTTTCGCTCTTGTTGCCCAAACTGGAGTGCAATGGCATGATCTCGGCTCACTGCAACCTCCACCTCCCGGGTTCAAGTGATTCTCCTGCCTCAGCCTCCTGAGTAGCTGGGATTACAGGCGCCTGCCACCACACCCGGCTCATTTTTTGTATTTTTAGTAGAAATGGGTTTTCACCATGTTAGCCAGACTGGTCTTGAACTCCTGACCTCAGGTGATCCGTCCGCTTTGGCCTCCCAAAGTGCTGGGATTATAGGCATGAGCCACCGTGCCCGGCTTGCTACATGTCTCTTGCAGGGGGCAAAAAGCTCCTCTGGTTCGAACCACTGATTTAAAGGGAAAGAGCAGAGTTTAAGTTGTTTTTCTCCACATGCAGCAGAAGCCTGGGCTGGAAGTGGGTACTCAGAGAAGGTGCTCTTGTTACTCCCCATGGGTGCAGCCCAAAGGACCCTTCTGAAAAGCTGGGGAATGGGGCTTGTCATCTCTTGTCAGAGAGTCATGGAGGGCACTCAGCAGCAGGACCCCAGGAGTCCGAGACTCTGGTTTGTCGCATCTCAGTGTTCAAGGCAGATCTGGGCGGGAGAATAACACATGATCCGGCTTCAGCTAAGAGCACCGTGCCCTCCAGATGCGGTCTGAGGAGACAGCCGACCTTTTGGCTGAAAAGGCCCAGATCACTGAGGAGGAGGCAAAACTTCTGGCCCAGAAGGCCGCAGAGGCTGAGCAGGAAATGCAACGCATCAAGGCCACAGCCATTCGCACGGAGGAGGAGAAGCGCCTGATGGAGCAGAAGGTGCTGGAAGCCGAGGTGCTGGCACTGAAGATGGCTGAGGAGTCAGAGAGGAGGTGAGGGGGCACTGGGCACCAGACTGGTGAGGAGGCTGGCGAAGGGCCGCAGACCAGCCTTCCCTGAGGCTGAGCTCTACAGCAGCTGTCCTCAAGCTGCTTCCCCATCTTCTGGGCGGGGGGAGGCTCCTCCTTGGCTGATGGTGACTGGTGCTTCATCCATTTTGGGGTTGGCGCTACTGGTTGGGCACAGCAACTCAGTTCTCCTGCTAGGTGGGCCCCTCTGTTGTGTCTCTTTGATAAGCCCCTGTCTCTCTGATGGCCGTGTGTGCAGGAAAACCCCTGAGCATATCCACAGACCGCTTTCAGCTAAAGAGATGTGAGGAGGCTCTTTGTGCATAAAAAAAACAAAAACAAAACGTGGTTCTTTTCTGCTTTCATTCGGTGGGTCTGCAGGAGAACAGCAGCTGCTCACCTTTAAAGGGGAACTAGTGCCTGCATTCCCCAGCCTTCCTTGGCACATGGGGAAGGGGGGCTAGGATGGTCTCTGTGACTGGGACGTCCCACTCATGGCCAGGTTGAAGGATGTTCTGTACTTTTGTCTGTACTTTTGTCTGTACTTTTGAAAGACTATCATAGGCCTGTAGCCTTCAGATAAACACTGACACATTCCCCACAGCTTTTGGCTCTGTTGATTTGGAGCACTTGAATTTGGCTTTTAGCTACCAAGGTGCAGTCACTACAGTTTTCCTCACCACTCTTTGCATGTTGTTCTGGGAATATGGTTCCCTTTTGCCTGCCCTGCTTCAGGCCCCTTGCTGTATGCGGGTCACACTCGCTGTGCATGGTGCAGGTCTGGCCAGGCCTCACATGCCGTGTCCACCCTGAGCCCCATAGGGTGACGATCTGCACCAGGGTGCGGGTGCCCTCAGTGACGGGGCTCATCTTCCTGCTGGAGAAAGTGGGCACAAGGCCCACCAGTGTTTTATCCAGAGGCTGTGAAGATGCAGTTCTTGTATATTCTGCCCTTTGTGATCCAATATAAGAACTTTGATCCTCTGGGCTCTTCCTTTGCCCAGCTCACTCTCACCCAAAAACAAAGCAGAGAAAGCTGCTGGTGCCCCCTCCAGCTCCTCCGTCTCCTGGCTGTAGAAGGTCTGGTTTCTCTCAGTTTTCCTGCTCTTCCAGTTTAGATTTACCAACTCAAATGAAAAATCTCAGGAATGTTGTCCTTGCTTTGGAAGTTCTGATTTCATGTAAATGTCCCTGTCTCACTGTCCTTTTTCACTTCTTCAGGTGCCATCCTCAGGGTTAGGCCAGGTCCCTCCTCTGCAGGGGTGGTGTGGGGTCTTTTCCCACCACCTGCCCTCTTCTGTGAAGCTGACATCTCATCCTTTCCTTGCAGGGCCAAAGAGGCAGATCAGCTGAAGCAGGACCTGCAGGAAGCACGCGAGGCAGAGCGAAGAGCCAAGCAGAAGCTCCTGGAGATTGCCACCAAGCCCACGTACCCGGTGAGCCTGGGGGGCCACCAGCTGGGGCCGCCTTAGTCCTGGTGGGTGATGTTCTCTTTCCTCCCGGCCCTTCAGTTCATCTGGCGGTGCCTTCAGGGTGACCATTCAAGCAAACACATGGCAGGATGAGAGATACAGAGAGCCTGCAGTTAGGGACTGGGTAGAACATCCTGGTCTGCCATTTGGCTTTGGACTAGTTAGTTGTCTCTTTGGTTGCCTGGATAACAGGCAACAGGGCCTTTTCCAGCTCTGGAATGTTTTTCTTGTTCTAAGTAATATAGTCCCAAATTATCCTCAAGCGAATTTGCTCTCTTGCCTCTTAATGCTGAGCTGAATGTAATCTTCAACTATCAGTATATACCATATATCATAATTATAGTTCTGGGAAGGGATTGGCTGTACACCTCAGAGTGAATTACTGCCATGCAAGAACGAGCAGCCACTCTCAGTTTGGGGACACAGAGGCAGACTTCCATTAAATGGGGTCACAAAATGAATAGAAACCTCTTTCCCTCCTTTCTTCTGTGCATTCAGTTTGGCATTTTATTTATTTATTTTTTTTTGCGTATTCAGTGTCCATGTAGTGCCACACAGTTGGAAGTCTCTGTCCTGACAGGTGTTCTCAGGGTGCACAGGTGCCTAGAGGAGGAGGACACAGCCCAGCCTGGAGGGGCAGGAGAGGCTCAATATGGTGTCTACACTGATGCTTGAAGGGGGAGCAGGAAGTAGCCAGGTAGAGAAGAGAACATAGGGTATTTAGGGTGAGGGCACAGATGCACACACATGGCCCAGACTCACACACAGCACAGTCATCTACATGGCACATCCATACACACAGCACAGACACACACATGTACCCATACATATATTCATGCACATGGCACATCCACATACACAGCACGGACACACACACGTACCCATACTTACATTCAAGCACATGGTACAGGCACATAGATGACCCAGATGCACACAGGGCACCAGAGCCACAAGCTGCCCAGGGTTTGAGGTGGGGAAAACGTAAGCAGTTTGCTGTTGCTGTATATCCTGGTTCTCTGTTACTATGTAACAACCCACCCAAGCCAACTGTGTGGCCGAAACAACCCTTTATTATACCTCTGGTGGCTTGTTGGGTTGACTGGGCCAGACAGAGATCCTTGCTGGGGATCTCTCTGGTGGTCACAGTCAGATGGTAGCTGGAACTGGAGTCGTCTGAGCACTCAACTGGGCTGAACACCTGAGATGTGTGTTTTGTTTTTATTTTTTATTTTGTTTATTATTATTATTTTTTTTTTTGAGAGAGAGAGAGTTTTATTTACTCTGTCACCCAGGCTGGAATGCAGTGGCAGAATCTCAGCTCACTGCAACCTCCGCCTGGTAGGCTCAAGCGATCCTCCCGCCCCAGTCTCCTGAGTAGCTGGGACCACAGGCATGTGCCACCACGCCCAGCTAATTTTTTTTTTTTTTTTTTGGTAGGGACAGGGTTTTGCCATATTGCCCCAGCTGGTCTCAAACTTCAGAGCTTAAGTGATCTGCCTGCCTCAGCTTCCCAAAGTGCTGGGATTATAGGCATGAGCCACTGTGCCCAACCTCTATGTGTTGTTTTTAAAATATACACTGGAGCAAAGCTTATACACTGCTGTAACTGCTCTCTCCTCTTAGCAGTCAATCCTGGAGGAGATCATCCATATCAGCTTTTTAATCATGTTTTGTTGTGTGGATGATTGCAGTTCATTTAACCAGTCCCTCACGGATGAGTATTTAGTCTGTTTTCTTTTGCAATTTTGAACAAAATGGCACTGAATATCCCTGAACACAAATCTTGACACACACAAGTGAATATATTGGTAGAATAAATTCTAATAATAGAACCGTGGGGTCAAATTTTCAATTTTGATACTCTTCAAAGAAGTTGTACCAGTTCATGCTCTCACTGATGGTGCAGCAACTAGTACTGGTTTTTGCTGGAAATTTTTATGAAGTATAACATACATGTAGAGAAGTGCCCAGATTACAACTGTACAGCTTGAAGAATTTTCACAAACTGAACATACCTATGTACCCAGCACCCAGATCAGAAAACAGGACATCCTTGGCACCCCAGGAGCTGTCTCTCAGCACCCTTGCAGACAGTCTGCCTCAGGCCTTGAGAATGTCTCAAATGAATGTTCCAAGCCTCTGCTCTTTCCCAGACAGTGTCCTAGACTCAGTACGGGATCCAAGGATGAAAAAGAGGCAGATTGTTTGCAGGAAACTTGCAAATAGTAGAAAGAAGATACAGCCAAAAAGAAATCTTTTACAGGGTGGAATTGCAGAAGAACCATTAGAGAACTGTAAACACAGCATTAAGGGACAGTAAAGAAAAGGGTTGCCAGCTGGCTGGGAGGGGCTAGAAAGGCTTTGGTGAGAGATCATGGTGTTTGAGAAGGGCCTTGAAAGAGCGATGGAGCATAGGGAGGAGAAATGGGATAGGCAGGGGTACAGAGATGGGAAGGCAGTAGTCCAGGGGATAATAAACAATACTGACTGTGACTTAGTAGGGCAAATAGTAGGAGAAGCCAGGGAGCTAGATTGGGGCCCTCTTTAGATGACCGTTTGTTCTGGGATGAAAGTCAGAAACAAAAAACAAAAAAAACTACACCACCCCTGCTTCAAGACCTACTCCGGTTCCATTGTCCAATCCCAAGCCCCTTGGTGGGCAGGTGAAGCCCTTTGTGGTGGTGCCCATCTCCCACCCCACCTCTCCACACTGTATGGCAGACTCCTGGCACCCTCGCTGGGCAGTGCCCCACCCATTGCCATACCTCCCACCTGGCAAACTTTCTCGTGGCACTGTCTTGGATCCCAGCAAAAGCAGCATCTCTTCCAGCCTCTGTTCGCTCCCTGGCTACAGTGTTTACCTTTTTTAACAGTGATGATCTGTGAACACATCTATTTCCTGAACAAAACTTTCAGCTGCTCAAAGCCAAGGATGCTGTCTTGTTTTCTGCATCTCCAGCCCCTCTCACAGGGCCCGGGAGTTTCCTAAATGAAAAAGCGAGTGGGAGTTTGTGTTTGATTCAGCTGAGCGTGAAGAACGGTTAGAGATTTGAGGGGTGAGGGATGATTTTCCTGGATTTGTAGTCTTTGGTATTGTTCACCTGGCAGTGGCAAATGTGGAGGAACTGAAGTGGAGGGGCTCATAGTGGCATTGGGAGGTAGGACCTGAGTTGTGCCTATCGCCGCTGTGGCTGCTGGAGGATCAGTTGTCAACACAGTAGTGCCCCTCTGTTCTTGTATGACCCAAGCTCCTAATCCGAAATTTCTCATTAATAGCCCATGAACCCAATTCCAGCACCGTTGCCTCCTGACATACCAAGCTTCAACCTCATTGGTGACAGCCTGTCTTTCGACTTCAAGGATACTGACATGAAGCGACTTTCCATGGAGATAGAGAAAGAAAAGTATGTAGCCCCCTGTGCCCTGCTGTGGGCAGCCATGAACCAGAGTGAGTGATTGGGGCCTTGGGAAGCTGGGGCAGAGGTGAGGGGTTGCTGAAACAGCCTGTCGTTAGCTCCTACAAAGGTTTGCTCTGCTCTTACCTGCTGGAGGAAGAATTTCCTTAATTGGAAATTAAGGGACAACAGATCAGCATTCATTCTGAATGAATAAAAATAACACTTGACTAGTGACCTGGAGTTTATGATGGCTCTAAACCTCACCTAAAGTGTAGGCCTGGGTTGTTAGCATCTCTGAGTCAGTTCAACTGCTGTTATACTACTGGACTGTAGTCGCCTCCTAGTTGAGTTTTCCAGTGACTGGGATCTACGGTGGTTCCCTTGTCTAGAACAAAGAAAGATTAGAGAAGAGACTCAGGCTCAAGGCTAAGGAAAGCTTGACAGCTGGTGGGGCCACTTTGCTGCAGTGGATGGCACTGGACAGGGCCCCAGCATGGCCTGATCATGGCAGCTTTTGCTGAACTGCCCTCCATCTTCCCTTTATGGTGGGTAGAAGTGGATCAGAGATGGAAAGGAAAGGATCCCCACTGCAGAGGAAGTCTAAGCAAGGGCCCCTAGTTCCCAGAGCTAGTGGTAAGTTGGTTAACTGCCACTGCTTGCCGGAGGACAACCACAGCAGCTACCATGCATTGAGTGCCTGTGTGTCAGGGTTTTTGGCTTTTGTCTCATTTAATTCCTACTAACTGACAAACATCAAACTGACATCAAAGGTAGGTTTTCATGTTCCCATTTTATAAGGGAGAATTCAGATTTAGAGAGTTTAGTGAACTCCCCCAGCATCACACAGCTGATGCAGAGGAGCCCCTGGGTTGAAACCCCTCACCCATCTGACTCTGCAGCCCATGTGCTTTTACCAAGGGTAGTATCCTCAGGAAAAACCTTTGGGGAAAGTGTCTCCATGGAGTCCTGTATGGGCAACCACAATCCAGGCTGTTTCTCTTTGGGCTTTCACATTGAGGGTATAGCTAAGTAGCCAGTGAACCAGAGCCTCTAGCTGTCATATCTGCTGTCCATGTTCCTTTCACCAGACATACATATTTATGTGGTTGGGATCGGGGATCAGGGTGAAGCTATTCTGCTATTTTATAGTTTGTATTTTGTTACTATCTTAGTTTGTTTTGGCTACTGTAACAAAATACCAGTGGCTAGGTAGCTTATAAACAACAGAAATTTATTTCTTGGCCAGGCACAGTGGCTCATGCCTATAATTCCAGCACTTTGGGAGTCCAAGGCAGGCAGATCGCTTGAGCCAGGAGTTCAAGACCAGCCTGGGCAACATGGCGAAACCCCATTTCTACTAAAAATACAAAAATTAGCTGGGTGTGGTGGCGCATGCCTGTGGTCCCAGCTACTCGCGGAGGCTGAGGCAGGAGGATTGCTTGAGCCTGGAAGGCAGAGGTTGCAGTGAGCCCAGATCATACCACTGCACTCCAGCCCAGGCAACAGAGAGACACCCTGTCTCAAAAAAAAAAAAAAAAAGAAAAGAAAAGGAAAGAAAGAAATTGATTTCTCACAGTTTGGGAGGCTGGAAAGGCCAAGATCAAGGCACGGGCAGAGGTGGAGTCTGGTGAGGGCATTCTTCCTGGTTCATAGCCCTTGTCGCTGTGTGCCCACCCAGTGGAAGGGATGAAGGGTCTCTCTGGAGTCTCTTTTATAAGGGCACTAATCCCATTCATGAGGCTCTACCCTCATGACTTCCCAAAGGCCCCATCTCCTGACGCCCCTGTGCGTTTTCTATTTCTTTTTTGAGACAGATCCGCTCTGTTGCCCAAGCTGGAGTGCAGTGGTGCGATCCCAGCACACTGTAACCTCTGCCTCCTGGGTTCAAGCGATTTCTCCTGCCTTAGCCTCCTCGAGTAGCTGGATTACGGCCCATGCTACCACGCCCAGCTAACTTTTGTATTTTAGTATCGAACCAGGGTTTCACCATATTCGGTCCAGGCTGGCTCAAACTTCCTACCTATCGGTCCGCCACGCTTGGCCTCCCAAAGGCTGGCATTACCAGCATCGAGCCACCCACGCCCAGCTGCAATGTAGGCGCCTTCGACATATGAATTTTGAAGACACGAACATTCAGACCAGTAGCGATCTTACCCTTGCACATATTTGGCAGAGTCTCTGTACAACCATCGGCAACTCCTATGGAATTTTTTGGTATGATCTTATTGCACCGGTTTTCTGCCATGCCTTGTATTGGACCGCTTTGGGTGGTTTCCCAGACCTTTGCACCATCCATAATTGCGTCACTCAGCTGCGTCTGTTCTCAGGTAGAGAGGATCTCTTTCTTCTTGCGTTGGTGAGCTTCGATGAGCTTCTGGTCAATCTTTAATGAAGTCTCAGAACAAGTGGGACGTGGAGCTGGCCTATCAAAAGAGAAGTCACGTGAAGCTGAGGCGCTGTGGCTTGTGCCTGTAATCCCCAGCCTTTTGAGGCCAGGGGGTCAAACCAGCCCGGGGAGCACATAGCAAGATCCTATCAAAAAAAAATGATTTACTTGAATTTACGCTCCAAGAAAGGGTTGAGACAAGGAGATTGTTCTGGGTTCCCAGGGACCAGCCTTGTTTCATGTATTTTTTTTTTTTTGGGTTGGTGCAGAACAAAAAGCTGTCCTGTGACAGCTAGTATGTTAGAGCCCCTATGAGAAATTTACCAGGACTTTTCTACTCCCTTTCTTTTCTTTTTCTTCTTCTTCTTCTTTTTTTTTAATAGAGACGAATCTCTCCCAGCACTTGGGAGGCCGAAGAACGGCGGATCACGAGGTCAGGAGATCGAGACCTCCTGGCTAACACGGTGAAACCCATCCTACCTAAAAAATATACAAAAAACTAGCCCTGAGTGGCGGAGCCCTGTGGTCCCAGCTACTCGGGAGGCTGAGGCAGGAGAATGGCGATAACCCTGCGGAGGCGGAGCTTCGGCAGTGCGGCTGAGATCCGGCCACCTTGCACTCCAGCCTCGGGCACAGAGCCAGACCTCATCTCAAAAACAAAAAAAAAAAAAAATAGAGGCAGAATCTCGCTATGTTTCCCAAGCTGGTCTCCAACTCCTGGGCTCAAGCAATCCTCCTGCCTCAGCCACCCAAAGTACTGGGATTACAGGTGGAGCCACCATGCCTGGCCTCCACTTTTTTTTAATTTAATCCTGACCACGGCCCTGTGATCATTATCCCAATTTTAATGATGAGGAAACATTCATAGCACTTAAGTGACCAGCCTAAGCTCCACGGCCTGTGAGTGGCCAAGTAAAGATGTGAACCTCAGGCCTCAAACCCTAGATCCTGCACCAAGCAGCTTGTGGGCCACAGAGCACCTGAGCCGTGTCTCACTGTCGCCCAAGCCCTGATGCATGATACCCTCTTGCCGGCAGAGTGGAATACATGGAAAAGAGCAAGCATCTGCAGGAGCAGCTCAATGAACTCAAGACAGAAATCGAGGCCTTGAAACTGAAAGAGAGGGAGACGGCTCTGGATATTCTGCACAATGAGAACTCCGACAGGGGTGGCAGCAGCAAGCACAATACCATTAAAAAGGTACCCAGGGTCTCTTTCTTGTATTTTGCTGATCAGGACCGTCATTAATGAAATATGAGGTTGGCATCTGGTTTTCTCAGTAGCCAAGTCACTAGACTGTTAGCATCTTTTGTATGTACTTAGTTGAGGAAATTTTTAAACTTATGCCAGAAAGGGAATGTAATCTGCCAGTGACTAGGAACCCATTGGCTGGATGGCAGTTGAGCTTGTGTTAAAAGCTCTGACATAATGAACCCCTGTTATGGGGTTTTGATTCATCATTTAGCAGTAAAGCATAAAGCCCTTTTAAGCCAAGGGGTGTTATGCCCAGGGAGATGCCTTACTTTATGAGAAAGCAGAATGAAGGGAGGCTATTGAGAATGGACTTTCCGGCCGGGCGCGGTGGCTCAAGCCTGTAATCCCAGCACTTTGGGAGGCCGAGACGGGCGGATCACGAGGTCAGGAGATCGAGACCATCCTGGCTAACACGGTGAAACCCCGTCTCTACTAAAAAATACAAAAAACTAGCCGGGCGAGGTGGCGGGCGCCTGTAGTCCCAGCTACTCGGGAGGCTGAGGCAGGAGAATGGCGTGAACCTGGGAGGTGGAGCTTGCAGTGAGCCGAGATTGTGTGACTGCACTCCAGTCTGGGAGACACAGCGAGAAAAAAAAAAAAAAAAAAAGAGAGAGAATGGACTTTCCCTCTAGTCTTGTTGTGTCTTTAAGTGGCAAGGACTATAAAACCAAACTGAATTTTTAACTTTTTTCATACTTAAAAGGAAGTGTCTAGGAGAGAACCTCTTTGTTTTGAAAGAGAAGACTTTATTATGTTGCAAATGGTTTCATATCTTTCTCTATTGGTATTTTGAGCTTTCAGCATTGTTGAGTTTCAGAAGCTAAATTTCATACTAATTATCAGCCCAAGAGTATACCTCTTTCATTTGGGCCAAGCAGAAGGGTCCTCTCTTGCCAAATAATGCTCTGCTCTTAACTGATAGCCCAGGATCAGGTTAACATCTATAAAATAGGTGTTATTAAGATAAAACTGGGCTGGGCGTGGTGGCTCACGCCTGTAATCCCAGCACTTTGGGAGGCCGAGGCGGGTGGATCACGAGGTCAGGAGACCGAGACCATCCTGGCTAACACGGTGGAACTCCGCCTCTACTAAAAATACAAAAAAATTAGCCGGGCGTGGTGGCGGGCGCCTGTAGTCCCAGCTACTCGGGAGGCTGAGGCAGGAGAATGGCGTGAACCTGGGAGGTGGAGCTTGCAGTGAGCCGAGATTGTGTGACTGCACTCCAGTCTGGGAGACACAGCGAGACTCTGTCTCAAAAAAAAGATAAAACTGTCCATTGACTTTAGGTGATACTGATGCAGTTAATTTTTTACTCTTTACCTCAGTCTTTAAAATGGGCTTCCAGTTTTACGGACTGTCTCTGTTTTTAGTGGTTAAGCTGTATCTGAAAACTCCAGGGGATCTGTTTCTACCTGCCATCGTTACTGGGTACAGCAGGCAGCCCTGACTTTTACCTCTCGACTCCAGTCAGAACTGGCACTGGGTAGAGAATTCCTTTTAATAGTGCAACCTAGAAGGAAAGGCATTTCCACATTCCACATTCTTCTTTTCTCTGGCTTCTGTAATTTACCAGGCTTCCCTTCCAAAACAAAATTATTAAATAGTAAAGAGAAGTTCAAGGGAGGCCTCAGCCATTAAGGAAAGAGGTAAAACAATGACTGAGCCAGTGAGCCAGTCAGCCCTTAAATGAACTGCCTTAGACACCCCATCTCACCCCTTACCCCCAGCCTTGTCATCTGGGTCCCCGGAACAGTCTCACTATTTCCACTGCGGCTGCAATGAGCAGGGCCTTCAGCCACAGAAACCTGCAGTGTGAAAGCTGGAGAGACCCCGTTCCAAGCCATTAAAACAAGATCACTCGTCACGATTTCAGGCCTATCCAAGCATTTTGCAGATAGCACTTATGGCATTGTTGATATCACAGGGTATGTTTTTGTTTTTCTTCATTTTATTTTGCTGGTTTAGCCTCAAGCCCAAGGCAGAAGACCTATCTGCATTTGAGCCCTCAAAGTAGGTTGTTCCCAGGTACTCTCTCTGTGGTGATGGCACTGCCCTCTGTGATACTAACCCGTGCATGAGCTTGCCTGTCTCTGTCCTCAGGCCACACTGAGCCCTTACGAGGGCAGGTGGTGCCTGGGTACTGGCCGCAGCATGCTTTGAGTCTAAAAGCAGGCACCCGCCCTGTGGAGCCAGACCAGCCTCCAGGGCCCCAGAAGACTGCCTCGTTCCGAAGAGCATGTCATGGGGCTGTAGGACCGGCCGTTCTTCCCATCTTGTGTCATTGTTGGGCTGGGGAAGGTTATGGCTTCTTGTCCAGTCAGGTGTGTCTATAAGTCCTTTGTCTTGGTGGCATACTCCTAGCATGGAAATGGGGTCAATCTGGGCACTTTTGAGACTGGTGTCTGTAACTCGAGATCAAGACCTTTTACGCGGTGACAGCCTCTCAAGACCCATGGTCACTCCTGGCAGCTTCTGGTCGTGGGGCGAAGGGGTTGCCTGTGCTGGCTCATTTTCCTTTAGAGCTTTCCCTTTCTGTACATAGCCCTTTTCCTTTCAAATAAAGCAAACCCAGAGCACAGGGGTCTGATTTGTGAGTCCACGGGGAGTGGACTGTCTGTTCGTCCGTGCTCAGCCGCCTCTGCTTCAGCTTCCACTCCACAGGCTGAGCAGAGATGTGGTCAGAGTGAACTCACATTGGAGCAGTACAGTCATGGCACCCCGGAGAGGAGCGGTCACTGGTTGCTGAATGAATTAACTGAATGTTTGCTGCTTTTCTCCTGCAACAGTTCGTTATTCTTCCAGCATGCCTAGGCAGTAGAGAGAATGTATTTTGCCCAATAATAAAATGACATCCTGCCTCTACTTCTCACCTAATCCCCAGTAGTACCCATGTCAACAAGCTCCACACCACCCGACAGCAGCGTAGGATGTGTCCATTGGAGTCTTCCCTGCAGTTTCTGCTCATAGAGTAGAATAAGCTAATTGGAACCTTCCTACCAAAAAGAGGTCTGGCATAAGATAGATCCTACTTGTGGTCGTTATCCCATCAAGAGAGGTCAGCTGTTAAAGTCCCTGATAGATCTTATTAAAAGGTACACTTGAGCCATCAGTGGTTCCAAGAATCCATGACATGAACCCTGTTTTGTATGTGACACTTTCATTTAGCGGGCTCCTGTTTCTTCAGCTTTCATACCCATGTTGGCATTGATACCCTGATGCAGAACAGTCCGTGCTCTGAGCAGGGCAGTTATGGCCAGCGTTGTCATGGGCAGGCCAGCTCACAGCACCCAGAGCAGCCAGGTGGACCCACCTTGGTTTACTGAACTTTTTGTAACCACGAGGGCAAGCAGAAAACCCCGCTGCATTTCACCCAGTGCTGCCAGGTGTTCCCTCCATGGGAAAGTGCTGCTCAGCCCGAATGTGATTTCCTCTTTCTTCCTTCTATAATGATGCAGAGTGCTGAAATTCTTCAGGGTCCTGATTCTGACTGTCATTTCACACTGAGCTTTTACTGCAGACAAAAGAAGTTTCATTTTTAGTTAAATTTGCACTGCTCCTAGGACATACATGGATGCATTTATTTATTCATTCATTTTAATGTCTTGATGTGAACTTGTTTTTAAAGCAGGCTGCCAGGCAGTTAATCAAACACTCGGGTTAATCAAGGGTTAATAAAAGCATGGACTTGATGTTTAATATGACAAGCGTTCTCTCAGCATCACTAGATTAAATAGTGCTGCACTACTAAATTTTGCTGCACATGAAGTTCAGTGCACGTTCCATTTTCTAGACTTTGGCAGTCCCTGTGGTCAGTGACCTGGACTGATGAGCAGCCACATGCCTGCACTAGGGTGGCTCTGGGGTGGTGCATACTGCAGTCTGGCTAGCACAAGCCTAGCTGAAGAGAAGTGCTGCTTTAGGCTTGGATGTGGGAATACCTAGATGTCAAGGGCAGAACTCCATCTAGAATGCCTGGGGATGAGATGCAAAAGCTGGTAGTGAATGGAACAGTTTCCAGTGTACAAAAGCTCACTAATCTGGGATCAAACCAGCCTGCATTGATGTTAGTTTTATTTTGTTTTGAGACACAATCTCCCTCTGTCACCCAGGCTGGTACGTTCTTGGCTCACTGCAACCTCCACCTCCCAGGCTCAAGTGATCCTCCTGCCTCAGCCTCCCAAGTAGCTGAGACTACTAATTTTTGTATTTTTTGTAGAGATGGGATTTCACCATGTTGCCCAGGCCGGTCTTGAACTCCTGGGCTCAACCGATCTGCCCAACTCTGCCTCCCAGAGTGCTGGGATTATAAAAGTGAGCCACCGTGCCTGGCCTCTTTTGTTTTTAATGAGGTTTTTTGTTTGTTTTGTTTTGTTGAGACAGGATCTCACTCTGTCACCCACATTGGTGACAGCCTCAACCTCCTGGGCTCAAGCGATCCTCCCACCTCAGCCTCCCAAGTAGCTGGGACTACAGGCATTTGCCACTACGCTTGACTGATTTTTTAATTTTTATTTTTGTAAAGATGGGTTTCGCCATGTTGTCCAGGCTGGTCTCGAACTCCTAAGCTCAAGTGGATCTTCCCGCCACAGCCTCCCAAAATGCTGGGATTACACACATGAGCCATCTTGCCCGGCCATTGTATTTGTCCTCGCTTTCAGTACTCTCCTGCCTCACTGAGAGGTCTCAGAGTCTGCTGTGTGATTTCAGCAGTACCCATGGGGGCTGTGTAACATTGAAGCTAATTCAAGGAGTTTGCCCTTAGGTTATGAAGGGTTACCACATTCCCTCAGGAATGCTGAGCGGCCATCCAGTTGGATTAACCGAGGTTCCTTACTTCTCTAGCCATTCCTTTTCTATAATCCTTGTTTTTTTTGTTGTTTGTTTGTTTTGTTTGTTTGTTTGTTTGTTTTTGAGCGAGTCTCGCTCTGTCGCCCAGGCTGGTGCAGTGGCAATCTCGGCTCACTGTGCAGCTCACGCTCCGGGTTCACGCACATTCTCCTGCCTCAGCCTCCGAGTAGCCGCTGGGTACTACAGGCCGCCGCCCCTGCGCCCGTCCTATTTTTTTCTATTTTAGAGAGACGGAGTTTACCATTTGGTCTCCATTCTCACTTGAACCTTGTGATCGCCCGCCCCTCCCAAAGTGCTGGGATTTACAGGTGTGATAGCCCACCGGCCCGCCTTGTCTATAATTCCTTATGCTCGCTGGCCGCCTCTCTCTTTTTTTTTTAATTATACTTAAGTTCTAGGGTACATGTGCACAACGTGCAGGCTTGTTACATATGTATTACGTGCAGCCATAAAAAAGGATGAATTCTTAACTCTCTCAAGGCACAGTGTCCTTCACCTCAAAAGGTGAATAAAAATAGTCTTTGCCCCAGGACTGTTGTGAGGGATAAATGAGAGAATTGCCATGAAACACTCAGTGCACAAGTCAGAGCTCAGTAAGGGGTTAAACTCTGAAAGGGAAAATCTGCTTGTGATCCTGCAGCAAAGGGCGAAGGACAGCATGTGGGGCCACACGCCAAATCTAGGTACACAGCTTGTGCTGGGCATATTCATTCATTGTATTAATTGCTACGTGGCTGGAAGTAAAAACTTTTAAAAAGCCATATTGGCCAGGCACAGTGGCTCACACCTATAATCCTAGCTTTGGGAGGCCCGAGGCAGGTTGAATCACCTGAGGTTGGGAGTTCGAGACCATCCTGACCAACATGGAGAAACCCATCTCTACCCAAAATACAAAATTTTGCAGGGTGTGGTGGCGCATGCCTGTAAACCCAGCTACTTGGGGAGGTGGAGGCAGGAGAATCGCTTGAACCTGGGAGGTGGAGGTTGCGGTGAGCCAAGATCATGCCATTGCACTCCAGCCTGGGCAACAAGAGCAAGACTCTGTCTCAAAAATAAATAAATAAATAAATAAATAGCCATAATTAACTTCACTGGTTCCTTGTAATATTTGACTTGGGTTTGCAAGGATATATTTTTCTCCTCTTGCTAATCTTAACTTCCTATATTTCCATTTTTCCCAATTGATGATCAGTACAACTAGTTTGGCATTTGCATCTGAGTCAGAGCAGTGCTAGCGATCAGAAGCCACCCTAGGGAACCTGGAATTGTTTCATTCTCAGCGGGAGCGACACGTGTCCTGGCATCTGAGCCTTCCAAGTGAGGGGAATGAGTCTGGCAGTCAGGCTGGGGTTGGGGGACACAGGGTGCCTCGAGCCTGACTTTTGTGCCTTCAGAGCCACAGTGCTGATGATGGGAGTGGTGGCTTGGTGTGGCATAACTGTACCACCACACCTTGAAGGTAAAATGCAGTCTTGGAATATATACATTCAGGGTCTTTCTTTCATCCTTTCTCAAAAGAGGGGTTTCAGTCTCCCGATCCTGAGCTGGTCTGAGTGCCAGCAAACAAAGTCATCACTTTTGTGCCTGTGGTCTCCCAGGGAGCACAGGATTTCCAAGGAAATTGATGGATGAGAAATCATGGGGGTGGTGGAGCTTAGAAAGCTTATTTCATTAGTAAATGGTTTGAACCGTCAAGGTCCAGCTGTGGTTTCCACTGATGGAGGAACAGGAAGAAGAGGAGCCTTGACATTTATCTCAAGCGCCAGCAGCTTCTCTTGGATCAGGAAGACATAAAAGTCCAATGTCATCTTCAATTTGTGCGGGCTCCCCTTGGAGTTGCAGAGCCGGTGAAGTGAAGTAGAACAGTTAAAAAAACACCCGGGGAAGTGATAAATCACAGAGAGAGATTGCATATGCGGGAAAGGCGTCTCCCACAATTAAAACAAGTGGCTAGAGCCTCCCTGGCGACCTCTGGTCTGCACTGCCAGCCCTGAAGATGGCTGCTAAATTACTTAAGTTTAATAGGTAGTTAATATAGCCAACCCTCCTTATGACCCCAGTGGGCCGAATGGCTCTGCTTGCTCTAGGAACTGGGTGTTGTATGGGTAGAGCATCCTTGGCCTTGACATAAAAGGTAGCATACTGGCTCACCAGCCCTGAAC